ATGTGGACAGGCCAAGAGCCGGTTTATACTGATGCTTTTTAACGTTTTCAATTATTATTAGAAATATCTTAATATACTGGTATGTCGAACGATAAAGAACACTTTTGGCATAAATGTTATTATCAAAGCATATTTTTGGCGAGATTTTTTTCGTATTTTACATGTTCGACCTCATGGTTAACGATCGAGTGGCTTGATGTCTCGTACTAAACAAATAATACAAATATATCTTCCTAAATCACAGAAGTATTACAACAAAATTCTTACCGGTAATTTTCAAACAGCGTTTCGTCTTAACCGAGGGTTTTGAGTGAAGTTTTGAACTGTAATACAAATTTTCAAATTTCGTGACTCGAAACTGTCTACGCTTCAGTCGTCACGAATGTTTCTTGCGATATTTAGTTAGTTTGGAAGAACGTTTCGAAGACTGTCAGTCGGCGAAATGTCTTCGGTGGGCATTTATTGAGAGCGTTTTTTCATACAGACAAAACAAATTCAGGTTAACGTTATTTCGTATTGCTGAGGTTTTGCAGGTGACAAACTTATAGCGAAACAGCTATTGTTAGACCTTCTTTATCAATGTTGAACTTGAAAATGATTTCACAAGACAATCTAAATACGCTTATTTACAGTGTTGTTAGTGCGACATTGACTAGAAACGTATCTTTCTCTTACCTTACTTGCTCTTCGATGAGCCATGTTTATAGTTGTCGCTGGCATACGGTACTCGAGTTAACTAGATATACTATTTTGAATATTCATCTCAGTTAAACCACAGGAAACCCAAGAAAATATCACATGAAGCCATTCATGGAATTTCGCTTCAATTCCTCTAAAAAAGTATGGAAATTTTAAAGTRTAATAATGATTGTAATTTCAAAATGATGTTTCGATCATTTTTTCTTTAAGGAGTACAGAAAGARCAATATTACGTAAGGATATTTCCACCCTACATGGTCACGTGTCCGTTCAAGTGGTTTTCACTCTTAAAACGATCATCGTTCTTTGAAAAGTGTTTCTAAAGATATTTGATACGATTTAGATATAGTCTACTGAGATATAACCTTTTCCACAGAGTACTCCTTTATTTCTTACTATTGGGGTCCCTTTGGAAGAAAATGTGAGTGGTGGAGTGAGGGGTTCTGGTTCTCTGGGGATGAAGAGAAGGGAGACTGGAGACGAGAATTAGAAGAACATAATAGTGTTGTTTGGAACTAGAAGTTTCTGTTGAAAAAGTCTATTGGCCGTTAATTATAATAACTTAAGTGGCTTTGCCAAATCTTCATCTTTTGCTGAGACCACAGGAAGCCCAAAGACCAGCAGCTGAAAGCTTTTCCAGATCTACAGAGTTCCACTACTTTTTCACACATATATATATACAACATTTTTATTATGTCTGAAAAAAAACTGTTTTAAAAAAAACGGCGTATTGTCGTTTGAATTATGTTCATAATGTTGTTCCCTGTATAATACACCTTTTCAGTTGCTCTTAGGCCTCGGCAACGTGTTAAATATGCTTTTGAATTTGTAGGAATGTGATCAATGCAAACATTGATATGAATAGTGTCATTTTTCAAATTCAAAAAGAATGATTAACTTTTTATCGAGGCCTAAGTGCAACTTAAAAGGTGTATTTGAAGACCACAGGAAGCCCGAGCTTTGTTTCACTCAAGAAGATTCAAGAGATGGTTTTATTCCATCAAAACACTTATAATTAATAGCATCAATAAGACTAACTATGTACTCTAAGCCTAACTATACACATAACTAAGCAAATATGGTAATTAGAACAAACAATAAGAACTCTCAGATCACGTGT